ATCACCCAGTCCAACCATCCACCCATCACCAACAGTTCTCACTAAACCATGTCCCTCTACACAACATCCAAACGTTCCTTGAACACCTCCAGGGTCAGTGACTCCACCACCTCCCTGGGCAGCCCATTCCAGTGCCTGACCACTCTTTCAGAGAAGTAGTATTTCCTAACGCCCAGCCTAAATCTCCTCTGGTGCAGCTTGAAGCCATTCCCTCTAGTCCTATGGACACTTGCAGCTGTCCAATCCTTAAACTGGAACAAACTGGGGAACAAAGTGTTCTCCTTAACTGAGATGATGAAACAGAATTTGAGCAACAAAGTGCCTGTCTTTCCAAAGAAAACTCTGAGGGAAAGTTTTCATTTTCAAGTGTAGGTTTTGTGTCCTGCCTGTTTATCAAAGCTGGAGTGTGTGCTCCAGCTTCCTGTACGCATAGATCCTTGCACATCTCTGATGAAGCCATGATACTAATTACTGAAAATGAACACTGATAGAAGTTCTCCATGTTGTTTCCTTGTTGAGTTGTTCATTATCTGCTTTATTTGTCTCGCTGAAATACTTTGGTGCGTGTTTACAACCACAGAATGCTACCTCCACAATTCAGCGATACGTGCAAGTAGAGTTCAGGCTTCTTAATGAGAAGTAATTCTTAATGTGGCCTGGTTGTTCCCATGGCGTGCTCACAATAAGTTGTTCTCAGAATAAATAGGACTGAACCGAGACTTAGCAGTGTGTTCATAAATTTTTGTGCCTCAGCCAGTCCTTTTCTCCATGACAATACTGTCTTGGAACTACTGCTCCATAACTAACACTTCAGAAGTTAAAGTCTCTCTGAGTGTTCCAAAGTGTTGCAGGCAGATAGATGGTTGAATCCTCAACAATCTTAATGAGACAGCTAACTGTGTTTTAATTTCATGGACAAGCCAAGGAAAAAGAGCCACAGAAAAAAGAACAGCAACAAAAACAGGCAGATAAAAATAACAGAACAGGTCAGATCTCGGTTTGCAGGCATGGGCAGTCTGTATTTCTTTTGAAGCTCAGCTTCTACTTTATGACCAAATAAAAAGGTGACCCAGTCAGGCAATGCAATTAAAAAATACATAGCTACCATAAAATCCTACAATGATCGGTGTTGAAAAGGACCTTAAAGATCATACAGTTGTGCCCAAACATAATTCTGAGTGCTAAAATAATCCCATATTCCCTAAGGTGGATTTCTGTAGAGAAATTAGTAGTCATAAAGAAGTGGGGAGGAGCCCTCAACTGCTAACAGCTGAAAGAAATAAGATGGCATTATAATTAAGAAAGGAAGGATTGACATGGGCAAAGGTATCCTGTTGTCTATACACAGCAGAGAATTTCAGCTCTAATTCACTGGTCTTGCACTGGTGGTGCAAGACAGAGAAACAGAAGTGAGGGATTTGAGTTCTGTGGCTGGTGAGAAATCAGCAAACAGCTGAATCAAGATTGATCTTTACCAAATGTTTACTAATAGTGTGCTGTTTGGTGCAGGTTATTATTTCTGGTGCATCATTCTTACATCTGGAGAGATCTACAGTGTGCCCAAATCACAGGCAAGGTCAGGGCTATGGAGAATCATTAGTAAAGCCTTAGTCCTCTAGCATTAACAAGGTTTTTGCTACATTGCTTGCGAGCTGGAGTAGCAAACATTCTTCACTTTGCATGCCTGGGAAATAAAGCCCTCAGTTCAAGGCCTGCTGTGGGCATGGCCAGGTGATGTGAGTCACAGGGATGAGGAGCTGTATCCCCTAGCTTTTTGGGGGCTGAGTCAGGGAGATGAGGGCTTGCCTATGTGGTCAGCAACTGGCAGCAGGGCTGTGGATAGGTGAGGATAATCTATTTTTGATGAAGAAAGTACTGTGTTATTGTCTAGCTTGTGTTCTAATGATCAGATATTCCTTTCTTTTCCCCCATATTCATAGCTCCTTGTTCAAGAGGCATCATGCTTACAGACCAGTGGTGAAGCAATGCTGGAAAATGTGAGGAAAGTGTGGCTTGTTATCTCTCTGAGCTGCAGACAGGAGATGGAATGCAGGAGTAAGTAGGGATGGACTTAATGTTTGCCTCTGGGTTGTAGGTGCTACTTCCCACTGCAGAGATGCTGTCCTTAGGGGAGTTTGAGTGTGTACTGAAAAGTAAAATCAAGAGGAAAAGAAAATTCAGAAAATTCACCATTGTATCGTGCTATATTATAGATCTGCCCCTGCAAGTTGTAAGGGAACTGTTAAATTACTCCCGATCTTTCTCTTGTTATAACAGTAGCTCCTAGTGGTGGTGGTTGTGAACTAATCTGATTGTCAGAGGGGCTGCTTATGCAGAATAGCTTTTCTATTGCCGGCATTGGTCTTAGACATATTCACATGCTAACAATGAAAAGTTTTACTCTTATTCTTATATTTTGCTTTTATCAAGTGTTTATCAGACTAATGCCTTCCCTTGTAATCAAGAAAAAGAAGTCAAATTTGTAAAAATTCAAAAAAGATCCAAAAAAGAAAAAAAAGAGTCTTTGATGTTTCTCAGATTGGTTCATGTTTTAAAACAAATCTCTGAAATGAAACCAGTAGAACTTCACAGCTTCTAACAGAAAGCCAGGATTTTGAAACCTTAGGGTTTCAATTATCCCACGCTGTTCAGCAGATGGAAGCCTCAGTTTGGGAAGGATATAGCTTCCTGCTAAAGGATTCCTTTTAGGAGTGGTGTAAGTTTTTCATGGCATTTAGGATAGTAGCTGAAGCCACCCTGTAGTAAACAGACTTAAAATTCCTCTTATAAGCTGCCTAGTTCTTCTGCTCAGGTCCTGGTTTGAGCCTTCCTTTAACTGAATTATCAGATAGCTTAGATAGTGCAGATGTGATTCAGAAACAAAGTCTGGCAGCAAAAGCAAACAGCTATGGTGAAATGCTTATTGCAACATGATAGGAATACAGAGGCCAATACCTCATGTAACGTTGAACACAAATACTCCCTGCAGTGTGTTTCAATTAGCATAAAAGTTTTTTGCTCATGTGAGCTCATCTCCCTTAAGGAGGCACGCATGTAGTGAAAGAAGATGTCCTGTGCATTAACTCCTTTGGAAATAATCCCAAAGTGAACTTCAGTCACTTCAGTTTTGTTGCAGCATCAAAAGGTCGGCACGTTAGCTTGCATTAGAACCATAATTTCACTGTCTGCAGTGGAGTTTTATTTTGCTCTTCTGATTTTTTTGTTTTTCTTTTCTGTACTGCTCAGGCTTTGGGGAAGAAGTCACTGGTAGGAGTCTGCTTATGGGACCAGGCCAAAAACACAAATACACTGGGATACCATGTGAAAGCAGCTTGCAGCAAAAGGGGTGGGAAAGCAAGTGGCAGTCATTGCTGTCTGTGTGCTGTGACCTGTTCATGGTAGGCCTAAACAGCTTCAACACAGACGGTTCACAAACATTGTCACTAAGTCTCAACAGGCCTCAACAGATGAGAGTGACTGTATTTTCTTAATGCCTTCTGAGCCATAAAGAGAAGACTTCCTTTGTGAAAAGGATGAGACTAGGCATTTTGCTGAGCTGAGCAGGCTGGGCAGTTCAACATCCACATCGTGCTGCTGTCGTGCATGCTGCTCTGCTGGAAGTCTGCAGGAACCATTGTCCTGGCAGCATCACAGGTGGGAGATGTCCCCTGCTGCCCAAACCTGACTCCTGCTGAGGTCACTTAGACCTGTTGGTAGCGCTGCTATGTCTTTGCTGTGGTGGACTGCACTGCCTTTCCACTTGTAAAATGGCAAAGAAATGAGAAGGCAAGAACCAAAACCTGGTTATTGTGGCTTAATTGCTCACTTAGATGTTGTAAGGTACAGATGTGTTTACTCTTTTGTAGCATTACACTTGGGAAAAGAAAAAGCAGAAGTGAAGAAAATGATGATGAGGTGGATTCATTTGAAGGCAGCTGGGGTATTTCTTCATGTGTTTACTCTCTTGTCTCTCTCTGCAAAATATCTGTGCACAACCCTGCCTTCCTGCACAGCCTTCTTTTAAGAAGGAAAAGAAGGGTGGATTTTTGTTGCTGTTTAACTGCAGTGCAGTCCCTGGTTGGAACTGGTTTGCACGGAAGGTGGGTTTCAATTTGCCTGGGGGGGTCACAAAATTGCAGAATGGTTTGGGTGGGAAAGGGACCTTGAAGGTCATCCAACCCCTGCCATGGGCAGGGCTGCCCCCCACAAGCTCAGGCTGCCCAGGGCCCACCCAACCTGGCCTTGAGTGCCTCCAGGAATGGGGCACCGCAGCTCTGGGCAGCTTTGCCAGGGGATCACCACCCTGTGAGTGAAGAATTTCTTCTTAACATCTAACTTAAATGTCCCCCCTTTTAGCCTCAAGCCGTTCCCCTTCGTCCTATCTCAAGGGGTGGCTGTGCTGGACTGCTGCTGCCATTTCTGGACGTGGGGTGCGAGAGGGGTGCGGGTGTCCCTGGGCAGCGGTATGTGCTGCCGCAGGCGGAGCTGTGCTGCTTCCACTGGGGCCTGGCTCAAAGCCGCTTTCAGGGGAACCTTTTTGTGAAACGAGGCGCTTTTCTCGGTTTGATGAACTTCCTGGCGCTTAGACGTGTGGAGAAGCAGGAGGGAGAGGCGGTGCCTCAGCGGAGGCCGCGCAGAGCAGGCGGGAGGCTCTGTCGCCTCAGCACCCGGAGGCTGCGGATGGGGATCACACCGGCGCGGTGTGGGAGCTCCGGGCTGACCGCGGAGGGCCGCGGGGCGCTGACAGGCGGTGGCCGCGCCCGCTGACAGGGCGGCCCGGCTCCGCCCTCAGGCGGCGGCGGCGGGAGCGGCGCGAGGTGCGTGTTTACATTCCGCCGCCGCTGCACGTTGCCGCCGCGAGGCGGGCTGCCATTGGCGGGCGGGAGGCGGCGGCTCCGCCCCGGGGCCGGGCCTCGCAGGGCGCGCGGCGTGCGCGGCGCGTGGAGCCGCCCGGCATAGGGAGTACCTGCGGGAGCCGGGCGGCGGTGGCGGCACGGGACGGCGATGCGGGGCGGCGGGGGTACGTGCGTGGAAACGGAGGCGGCGGGCGGAGCGAGATACGGCGGCGGCGGCGGAGCGGCACTCCCCGCCCGCCACTCCCTCGGGTCGCCTTCACCGGGGGAACCGAGGCGGGCGGCCCCCGGGGTGCGCGGGCGGCGGCGACGGTGGGGTGTCCTCCGGGCCGGGGTGGGCGCCGAGGCCGAGGGGCGGCGCTGGGGCAGCGGGGCGCGGGCGCGGGGCGGGGGAGCTGTCTGCCGCCCTCGCACATGCGCAGCGCGGGCGCGGGCCGCGCTATATAGCGGCTTGGCGCCGGCGGCACTGCAGCAGCGCGGCCCGGGCGGCGGCGGCGGAGGTGCGTGGGGAACCGCGGGGGGCAGCGGGCGGGAAGGAGCCCACCGCACGTCGATGCGGTGTTCGGCGATGGTAGCGCCGGCGGGGCGTGCAGCGGGGACGGGGGGATCGGGGCTGGGGGCATCAGGGGGTCGGATGCTGGGGGCACAGGGCGTTGGGGGCACCATACGGTGCTGGGGCTGCGCGGGGTCGTGCGGATCGGTCCGGGGCTGATGCGGCTCTTAGCCCCGCGGGCGCTGCGGAGGCGCGGGCGGGAGCGGCGGGCGGGATACGCGCCCGGACGCGGTTTTGGAGGGAGAGCGGCTGAGGAGGAACGGCGGCGGCGCCCATCCGAGCCCGCAGCGCCCCGCTCAGCCCCGCGCTCGGCGGGATCCCGACCCGGCTCGCCGCCCGCCCGCCGCTGGTGGGGGCGGGGAGCGCTGTTGGCGCGCTGACCCCGTTTGCCGCCCGCCCGCACCCCGCGGCGCTCCGGGGCCGCCGCGTCCCCCAAGGCGAGGCCTCGGCTCCCCGCGCTGCCCCCGTTCCCCCCGAGGGACGCGTCCCCGCCTCGAGTGTCCTGTTGAGAGAAACGTCCCGACTGAGGTGGGGTGTCCGCCGGCGCGGGCTCCCCGTGAGGTGGCGGCGCTGTCCCGGAACCCCTCCCGCGTTTTGGAGGGAGCCCGGCGCGCACCGAGGCGGGAGCGAGAGGAGGGGTGGGGAGCCGAGGTCCTGCCGCCCCGATACCCCGTGCAACCCCGCCTGGGGGAGCTCGGCGCCTTCTGCAGGGACCCCAAGTGTGGGCAGCCCAGTCCTGCCCCCCACCCCCCCCCCAACCAGTTCTGTCTGAACCCCGCTCGCCCCGGGGCCGGCCGAGGCGCGGCGCTGAGAGGCCGCCTCCTCCTCCTCCCCGCTCTGCAAATTGGCGCGGAACCGGCGCAGAGAGGCGGCCGCAGCGCGGGCAGCTCGGCCCGGCAGGTGGGGGCGGCGGGAGGGAACCCCCCCAGTGAGTGAGTGAGTGTGTGTATGTGTGCGTGTGTGCGTGTGTGTGTGTGTGTGTGTGTGCAGCCCGCCTGGGGTGCCTCCTCCATGCCCTCTCTCACGGGAAAGGCTGTTTGGCTGCTTCCCTCCCCCCACCTGACAAAATGAGCCCCAGGTAGGCATAGGCGAGCTGTGTAAGGGAGCGCCCATCTGCTGAGCGATGCGCTGCGGGGATCTGGGTTAAGCACCGTGACACCTCCAAGGGCTCATAGAATGGCCTGGGTTGAAAAAGACCACAATGATCATCTAGTTTCAACCTCCCTTCTATTTGCAGGATTGCCAACAACCAGATCAGGCTGCCTGGAGCCACATCCAGCCTGGATGTGGGGCAGCGTTTTTGTGTATCACAGGGATCCCATGCGAGGTGTGCCTTGCACCAGTCAATTAATGGTGCCCTTCTGTCTCAGTTCTGAGCCACACATGGCAAAAAGCAACGTGGTTGCTTTGTCTTAGGGCACAAAGCACCCAACTTTCAGAAGATTCACTAATCCAGCTGTTATTCCTTTGATCCAGGTAGAGAGATCTTACCGCCCGAAGATGTCAAGACGCAGGTAAGCTGTCAGCATTGTGACACACCAACGTGCCCTTTGCTCGCCTCCCAGCTGCTGCCCCCTTAATGCTGAGTGTCTCTGCCCCTTGCAGCAGCCGACTGCAGGCCAAGCAGCAGCAACAGCTGCCCCTGTCATGTCAAGAAGAGACTCCACGTGAGCTGCAGGCACCAGAGCATCTCCAGACCAGGAAAAGGAGAACAGCAGAGGTGACCCACTTGATTGACTCAAAATTTAATGTTGCACGTTATTATGGTCACTAGGATGGGGGAAACCTTCTCTCTGCAGAGCTAAAAAATGGGGCAGGATTAGCAATAGTTTGCTGTATCTTTAGAGGTCATGGGTGTGCTGGTCATTGTCAGCTTACTGATGTGTGGTTTTCTTTTCAGCAGGAGATTAAGAAGAAAGAAGATGGGAAAGTTGCTAAAAAACATCAATATGAAATTAAGGTATATCAGTCTTTGGATACTTGTTCAGACTAGGTGAAGGAATCTGTCTCGTTAAGATTGGTGAATGTGAAATCATGCATTCCACGCTGGAAAAGGGGAAATTTCTTTCTGTGGATGTGGACAGTATGTGATCTCTGTGCCTTAACATCTCTTTATGCTTTTTTTTTTTCTTAACTTTTTTTTTTTCCCTCCTTCACTTTTACAAAGGGTTTGGAACTAAATTCACTCTTAGATACTTCTGTCTGACCAAATAGGTTTTGAGATTTTGTATGCTAAGTAAACTGTATGCACTTTACCTTGAGAAGAAGCTCTGTAGGAAATGTTCAATGTGTTCAAAGGCAGGTCTTGTCATTCTTTGTGAAAGGAATCTCCCTAGTTCCACAGACCATAATTAAAGCTCAGTTGTCACCATTTTGAAGGCTGTCAGCCATTACAGCATTGCATATGCTTCGTGTGCTTAATCAATACGGGTAAGGAGATATAGTGTACAACCAAATAACACTGAAATAAGTTGGAGACTCAGCTGAAGTTACTTAGAATTCTTTCTCTGAAGCTTTCTGCATGAATTGACTTCAGACTCCTCTCCTTTTAAGTCATTGCATATTTGGTGTCGGTGAGTTGAGAGATAGTTCACAGCTGCTGCTTGCTGGGGGGGTATCTAGCTTCGGAGCCGAGATGGGTGGCTCCTCCCTGGAGTACTTGGAAGATAACAAGTTGTTGAATTTCCCTTAAGACAGTAGAACCTCCACCCTCTCCTTTCTTTTCCCTTCACACAGATAAGTAGATAGGACCAGCAACCTAATGTCTTGTTTCTTAGTAGCAGTAAAAACCTATTCCATATGTACTGTAACTGTAGAGCTCACGTGATGGATAGGCTGCGTGTGGGTTCATCACCCCAAGTCAGTTTTTTTCTCAGAGCTGACAACCCTTGGTTTTGTCAGGTTTGTTTCTTCTTACATGTTCCATCTCTTGGCTACAAAAGGTTTTGTCCAGAGAACTTAATGCATGTGACATGTGTTGTTGTTACTGTAGTCTGCATCTTGCTTCTCTTGCTGTCACAGTAAATCCTTCTTTCAGAAGACAACTTGTTTGTGTTGCAGAGTTGTTGGCCGCCCGCAATAACAGGAGGCATCTCACCTTGCATCATCATTGAAACGCCTCACAAAGAATCAGTAACCACTGACTTCTCAAGGTTCAAAAAATACAGGTTCAGAAACCTCTTCATAAATCCATCACCTTTGCCTGAACTCACGTAAGTTGACTGAATGCAGTAGTTGCTCTTTTATCACATGCGCTGAACTACTGTAGAAGTATCTGATATTGTATTGTGCTTGTATAATAGTGGACGGTACTCGTCTCTTCATCCCACAGACAGTTCAATATCTGGAAAAACACTCATCCTGTTGTGGGTTTTTCTCTTCCCCGCTCAGAAATGTCCTGGACAGAGCACTTTTTGCTTGTTGTAGCCATCTTTATGTAACTTAGCACTGGAGCCTGTCCGTGGCTGAAAGGGGTGCAGTGGTTAAAACTCACCTTCTGCCAGCACTATTGAAACTAAGCAACTAATAAAGTGACCAAAATACTGAACAAAGTTTAATAACTTTAGAAGTAGAACTACACAAACGTGCTGCACTGGTAGCAGCATATTTGATGCAGTCACAGTTCCTGTCTTCTAGTTTAGTGAGCAGTGTTGCAGAAGTTACATATGTGTTATAAAGACATTGCTGAAGAGGAAAGGGTAATCACTCAGTCGAGCAGTTTCTTTTGTAGAACATTTGTCAGTATGTTGTTGTAAACCTCTGTTAGTATACTACAAGTATGCTGACTGAGACGGTTTCCCTTTGCAAAGGGATAGGTTAGCTGAGTGGATGGAGGTTCAGAACTGAAAAATCCTTAGACATCTGGGTGTGTTAGGTAAGTGTGCTGGTTACTGTTTGTACAGCCCAACATTAATGAAAAAGCATGCTGCAGTGTGTTACAGAAAACTACTGCTCAAGTGACTGGGGGGAGAACCAAACATTGAAAGGTCAAAATGAGATGAGCCTGTGAAGCAGTTCCTTTAAGAGAACCCATCTGGATGTGCCGTGTTTTCATGCTGCGATCAAAACTTGACTGGAAGTGGGAGATGCTGCATAGTGATGCACTTAGCCTCAGTGCCGTGTCTCTCACTGAGCTTCAAGCTCAGCTTCTCAGTGTTGCTCCTGCACCTGCTGCGTGTTGCTGAACTGCAATTTAAAAAGCAATATACTTCTATCTGTGTCTGGCAAATCCTATTTCTGTAAGTGTTGAGAAGCTTAGCATGCTGAAGGGCTCTCCTGTACTCCCTTAGCAAGTTGCTGGGAACTGCTGGATCCCAAAGATACTCTCAGACACAGACTTCCACACAAAGCATTTCATCCTTGATGTTAACCTCTTGTCAGTCAGTACCTGGTAAAGCTGAGCTCTGTTTTCCACTTAGCAAAATGAGAGGCTGACTCACTCTCTGCTGCCTTCTTCATACATTCCTAACTGCTGTAGGAGGATGAGAGACTTGAGGGCTGCTCACTGAGAGACTTGTGCATTAAAGAAGAGTCTCCAGCTTACTGCTTGTGGTGGCAGCTGGATGGAACTGATCTCAGTTAAAATTGTGAGCAATAGTGGCAATGAGGTCTGTTTAATTTCTCTCCATTCCTGCCTGGGGGAAGGTATTTAATTCTGAAAACTTCAGGGGAAAATTGGCATTATGTTGGTCAATCTGTTGTCCTCCTTAATAACTGTATAGTGAGGGGAGAAAAAAAAAAAGTTAATTCATAATAACAGCAGTTCCAAACTAAAACCAAATCAGATTTATTATATAGGCATTTTCTTGCCAAGTATGCTTGACTGCTGATAAATCAGTAATGACCAAGAACCTAATATTTATTGCATGTTTCTGAGCCTTAAGGTAGATTAGTCACACTGTAAGTCACTGATTGGTCCCTTCCTCTTTTTTTAAAGATCATCTGCAAATAATTTTTCCAAAATGAAAATGGTCAACTCTGTGTGTGTTGTGTTTCTTAGGTAGTGATGTATTTCTTTGTTCTGTGTGTTTTCTACCTTGCCTTCTGGGAAGCCAAGCTTTAAAGTGGCTGAGCTATATGTGCTAATGGCTACCTAAGCAAAATGAGAATCTCTCTGTGGTTGTATGTGCAACTTTAGGATGTATGCACTCAGTTTTATTGGCTGTTCTATGAAACTGGACTTGCTGATGATCCTGACAAGCTGCTGTTGTGATCATGTAACATGTTTAAAGTATGCCTGCAGTTTTCTAATTACTGTAAGGATCTTTTTGTGCCCTGAGTCTTTAGAAATAATGTTTTTATACTCCCCTTATGAAGGTGTGTTTACTTACAATGATTTGTAACTTTATTCCATAGCTGGGGGAATTCCAAAGATGTGTGGCTCAACATCCTGAAGAAGGAGAACCGATACGCTCACTGCAAACACTTCACTTCGCTACACTCAAGTTTGCAGCCACACATGAGGTCGATACTGTTGGACTGGCTTCTAGAGGTGTGTGCTTTGTGTTATTTGCACTGTGTGGTCCTTCTGAGGAGAGGAGGTGAAAACAGAGCTTCTACATTAGGGGTATAATAGCAAAATATACAGCAAATGCCCAAACAATGTTGCAAGTCGCTATTTCTGATCCACTGGGTAAACTGCTCTCGATACACCCTGCCAGTGAACCTGCCAAAAGAGGGCAGTGAGCGACAGTTGTGAATGCTTGTTCTTACTGTGCTACATAACTGCCTGGGAAGGGGCAAAATGTAGCTCTGAGGCACCTGTAGTGGGGTAGCTGTAACAAGTTACTGCAGAGTTCAGGTACATTCTAAGATGTGAAGTCGGAGCTCCATATGCAGTTGCATTTGTATTGAGGACTTGAGTTGTTATATCAAGAGCCTTTGGATGTCAGAAAAAGTAGTGGGGGAAGCAGACTTATTAGTAAATATTTAGTTATATCTTATGAAGAAAGCACATTGGTAGCTAGCATCTGAAGGCTCTTGTTGTAGATGCTTTCTTGCTTGAAGTAGGAATGATTTATTTGTAATGCTTTTCAGTCTAATTTCTGTACTTCAGACTATTCCAGCTGTCAAACAAAATGGAGGTTCTCATTCTGGCAGCCAACACTACATGAAGGAGTACTAGTGTTGTAAATAGAGAGCTATGTTCAGGAGCAGTTTCCAAGAACACGCTGTATTGCAGAATATTCGGTCGCCACTGCCAAAAGCAACCTTTTACTCACGTAGCTCTTGCTCACCAGTAGGAGGGATCTTGCAGGTTCATCAGTTCTGTGATGCCAAGTACTCTAAGGAAGCAGATGTTACAGTGGCACTCACTGCCTGGCTGTTGAACAGTGCCAGTAGTGGATTTCAGGGGAAGGGATGTGCAGTTTTTAGACATGGTATGAATACAGAAACAATGCCACTTGTGTACTTCACGGATTCCTTTAATATGTTGTTGGCACATCACCCCTGGATTGGGTGTGATTTTTATATTTTTAGTCTTGAACTGTTAGGAAATTGTTAATGAAAGCGTTCACATTGACCTCATTACCACTGTCCACCTCAGTATTTCTACATGCCACGCCGAAGTAAAATCACTTGGAATTCTCCAGGAGCTCCTAACCTGGTCTTCTGTAGCATCACTTTGAAGATAATAGAACTTAGCTGTCTTGAGTATTGCTTGTGCTTGGCCAATACGTGTTAATAGAAATCATACACTGTTTTCATGGTGTGGACCTTCTTTGTTCTGAACCTTGTTTGGAGCAGTTATTCATTTTGCAGTAGCACTTCAGTTGGTGAATATTTATTACATCGGCTCTTAAAAAGAACCAAAAAGTGCTCCTGCCAACCAGTTGTGTTCTCTAAGGTCAGGAGGAGATGCAATCCACAAACAGGCTTTCAGCCTTCTCATGAAGTAGCTGGAGGTGGTGAGATTTTGTTCTGCCTTTGCATGCAAGTGAAATAGAGTAGTGAGGCAGGACAATTACTCCTACTTGGGATCTATTTGTTCAGGATTTTTACTGCTGTCTGTAGATTAGAAACTAGGGAAATATAGATATTTTTTGCTGCCCCCACGCTAACAACTGTCTCGTGTAACATGTTGATTAGTGATGGTCTGTATATGTAAAAGATGAATCTGTGTACTGGAGTACTCCAATATGTGTACATGAGTTTTATTATAGAGATGTTTTTTTTTTTTCTATTTGTTGTAGGTATGTGAGGTGTATGCACTGCACAGGGAAACCTTCTACCTAGCTCAAGACTTCTTTGACAGATTCATGTTGACACAGAAGAACATTAACAAGAGCATGCTTCAGCTGATAGGAATTACCTCATTGTTCATTGCATCCAAACTTGAGGTAAGCAGCTCTGTTATGGGGAAGAGAGATTACATATGGAATAACTAAAAAGGTGGTGGTAATGTATTTATTTCTGCTGTCTGAACCTTTAGAACTTAGAGTGCATGTAACACTGAAGGGGAAATCTTTCTCTTTGGTTGTGTGCATGTGAACCTTTTGGAGGGTGGTCTTTGCCCTCCCTCTCAGCAGTGGGAAGGAGACCACCTAAACTTCAGAGTAATGCAAATATCTAGGAGCATTATGTACTGCTTTGTCTTTTTTTTTTTTTTTTTTTTTCCAAACATACACATGTACCCTGGTTGGCAAACAGCCCCAGGGATGGGTGCAGGACTTGAAGAAAACCAAACCTGTACAGCTGATGTCCCTTAAACCCATTTAGGGGAACTTTTCAGAGATGATGTGATCAGTGCAACAATGATGATGAGTTGTGTTTGGTTTCTGTATGTCTCCTGGAAACTCTGTAGCACGTGGTAGGCTAAACTAAGTGGCAAATTTGGGATGTTAAATTTGGGGGTACTTGGAAACTCCCCTGACCAAACTGCTCTTTGCAAAGCGAGGTGGTGAGCTGCAAGCTGTTCTGCTGGCAGGTACCTCTACACCTACCCATATAAGATTGGATAAGATTGGCACAAGTAGCTTGGCTGCATTCTTTTTTTAACTGTCTTTACACCATGGATTCTGGCAGCTATGTTGGCAGTGGAATTTTTGGTCTTCATGGCCACATCAGCACTGACTGATGTTGCACCTACCCTGCATTGCTGATTGTCCTCTGTACTTCAAATGTAGGGTGGCTGAGTAGGAAGTGGTTTTAATAAGAGATTGTTCTGATTGTTCTGTCAGCATTTATTTCATTGAATCATGAAATCATGGAATAGCCTGGGTTGAAAAGAACACAATGATCATCCAGTTTCAACCCCCTGCTATGTGCAGGGTCGCCAACCAGCAGACCAGGCTGCCCAGAGCCACATCCAGCCTGGCCTTGAATGCCTCCAGGGATGGGGCATCCACAGCCTCCTTGGGCAACCTGTTCCAGTGTGTCACCACCCTCTGTGTGAAAAACTTCCTCCTAGTATCCAACCTAAGCCTCTCCTGTCTCTGTTCAAAACTGTTCCCCCTTGTCCATTTTCTCCAAAGCTAAAATGGTTGCAGTAAATCTGTTGTGTTATGCAACACATGACATAGAACCTACTTGTTTTGAGTATCTCCTACTGTGCAAGTTTCAAGTCACTCCATGTAGTAAGAAAAAAAACCAGTTCTAGTGTAAGAAAAGTTAATATTTCAATATGCCAGTACCAAGCTCTGTCTTCTAATCTTTTTCTTCCTCCTTTTGAAGGAAATCTACGCTCCAAAAATACAGGAATTTGCTTATGTCACTGATGGTGCTTGCAGTGAAGATGATATTGTGAGAATGGAACTTATTATGTTAAAGGTAATAACTTGGTGCTTGGAAGACTCACTTGAAATCTTGCTCCAGATTAATGTTGTGTTTTAATATCACTTTCTTCAAGAAGTAGGAGGAATGTGATCTAAAATAAATACTTAAAAGTGTGTATGACCTCAAGTATCTTTTGGGAATCTGTGCAATAAATTGAATGAACTCAGAAGGGGAAGCATGGGGGGAAAAGATCAGAGCCCAGAGCAATCTGTGCACGGTTTAAGGTGCTTATGTATTTGTTTAATGCTTACAGGCTTTAAAGTGGGAACTCTGTCCTGTGACAATCATCTCCTGGCTGAACCTCTATCTTCAAGTGGATGCTCTGAAGGATGTTCCAAAAGTGCTTCTACCTCAGTATTCTCAGGAAAAATTCATTCAGATAGCTCAGGTAGGTAACAAACCCTATAGGAAAGTGCTGGTCTGGAGTGTTTATGGTGAATGGTGAAACCCCCAAAAGCTGAAGAATTTCTTGTTTCATAGTCGTTTTCACCTCACTTGTTACTTTGTTAATGAATATGCAGGTTTGACTCAGCCAGACAGCTGCATACAAGCCTTAAGGAAAAGCAGCCAGGTGTCTGCCTCCCTGCTCTCAGATATTATCACTTTCTCTGCATGCTCAAAATTGCTGCTCACTGCAGTGTTGTGCACACAGCAGGCAGAGGGCCCAGTTAGCTGCCTTTCCCTGTGTTAGCTGCAATGGTGTTTCTGCCCCAGAATGCAGGATCAGTGGTGTTTTCACTCTGCTTTGCAACTACTGTGGTTCAATTTCAAGTACACAAGACCAGCCTCAGAGATGTTTACTGAAGAGTCAATTGAACTAATTAATTCACTGAGATATTCTGCAACTTTTTTAATGTAAGGTAATACTTTCCTTGAGCTCTGCCCACAGCTTAAAGGTTAAACTCACATTAGTACAAGCACTCTGTCTTGCACGTTACTGTTTTGGTGAGACCTGCTTTACTGCAGTTGGTGCTACAAATAAACTAGATGCATGCAGTTGATTCTAAATAGCACAGCGATGCTGCAGAGCATGAACAGGGAGTGTAGATACTTCCTGGGATAGGATTTTACCAAAGTGTCCTCTTGGAATTTATAACACTTATGTCCTCAACTCTATTTCCTCAGCTTTTAGACCTGTGTATTTTGGATGTGAATTCTTTAGACTTCCAGTACAGAACACTAGCTGCTGCTGCACTCTGCCACTATACCTCAACTGAAGTAGTGAAGAAAGCTTCAGGTAAGAAGCATCTGGTTAGACAGTGATGGCTGTTCCCTGCCTGATGTTGTGAAGGGTGTGCTGGTTAAGGACTGCAAAAGCTCTGCAAGGATACTAACAGTTTGTTTTTCTGTGGGGCTTTTCTTTTTTTCTTATCTCCTCTGCCTTTAACATTGTTACCACCGTTTCAGACATTACCAAGACCTGAAACAGAAGGAAGAGCTTTCAGAAGCACAGCGTTAGCTAAGGGAATTGAGCAGACACTCGCTTGCTTGCTTGCTTTTTGGGCCAGTAGTGCCCCTCTAATAGATTCTGACTGTTTGGTCACTAGCAGTACTTTTATTTGGCAATTTTTTTCCCAAAATACAATTTACAGCAGGGCATCCTTGGCTGTCAGTGGCACTCAGCCTTTGTGTGGATCCCATAAGTCTCCCTTACAAAGAGCTGCTGCCACCTGACCAAGTTCAGCACTGTGTTGCTTGAGGTGTCTTAAAGGCAGCGCTATGGTGTGTGTTTGCTTTAGAGCATGAACCAAAAATCTCACTCACTGAAAAAGTCACAGTAGGGTAAACTGTTACTTTAATGTCCTGGGGAGCAACAGAAACCCTCCTGGCCACAGAGCTGTTTTTTTCTTTAGGCTTGTGGTCATGTCCTTTGCCACAAGTTTAAGTAACAAATGCAAGGAAATGGGGATTTCTGGGAGGGTGAATTCTTACCTACGGCTGTATTTATTTTAAATTGCCAATCCTCTAGGAATTCTAGTTAGGAGACTGTACAACTCCTTCAGAACTTCTAAGTGTATCACTGTGTTTTCTCCTGTAGGCTTAGATTGGGACAGCATTTCAGAATGTGTAGAGTGGATGGTTCCATTTGTGAACGTGGCGAAGAAAGTCTCTGTGAAACTGAAGCATTTCAAGAAGGTTGCAGTAGAAGACTGCCACAATATCCAAACACACACAAACTACTTGGACATGCTGGTAGGTGGCTTGCAGAGCTGTGCTTTATACAGCCCTTCTTCTGAGGTGCTGAAGGCTCTCCAGGCTGACGGGGTCAGCATGCCACACCTTGTGGTTCTGGCTTTCTGGAGATAAGCTGCATGTGCTCTCACGAGCTGTGAGCAAAGAGTTGGGTGAGGATTACTGGTGAAGTGTTTAAAAGGTGGTGCTCCTTGCCATGAAACATAGCTGTGGAGTACCTGAATTGTACTGGCAGCATGAGGGAAAAAGCTTCCTAATGCCAGTAAGGCTGGAACATAGAGCTCTGTGTGCTATTAACTGTCTTCTTCACCCTCTCCACAGGAAGAAGTTAATAGTGGAGTAGCAGCTACTGCCCCAGGTCAGTTATCACCTGTATCAACAGCAGGAATAATAACTCCTCCCAAGAGCACAGAGAAGAAATGAAATTTGGACAGCAATCCTTATGGACAGTTTAAGAAAAAAGACCAGGTGCTTCAGAACAAGACCATACTAAGGGTGACTCACTTCAATGATCTTTACTGCTATTCAAGACGTGAGCAGTAAGGGATGCATCAGAGTGGCGGATGGAACTGATAGCAGCATCTTCCTTGAGACTTGATCAAAGAACTCAGACCAAGCATCCCTCCCTGTGTCATCGCAGGAGCGTGGGCTACTCGAGTCCCTTCTCAAACGACTTATGTAGCTCAACTCTCTGAACATTCCTAACTTATGAATTTCAGGAACATGTTTTGAAACGGCTGAGTGGCAAGGGTTGTCCACTCAGTGTGTCAATGTGCTTTAATGTGGGATAGCCACACGTGAGACCTTGGTGCCAGCATGTACGTATTACCTCTTCTTGACCTTTCTTTTCTCCAGGAGCTTACTGCCTGTAAGTTAGTCAGCTTATGAGCTCAGGTGCAGTATTACAGAGGTCAGTGAGTAAACAGTTTACATTTCTGAAACCACTGTGCCCTCACATTAAGGCAGGGCCAGCCCTGTTTCAAATCTTAGCTTCCTCAGGAGGTCAGTAGCTCCTGTTTAGGGCTGCCATAGACTTCAGTTCCCATGAATCGCTGACCTCAGGTAAGAGTACAAACAGAACAATGCTGCTGAAGTAATCTTAACTGGATGCAGTACAGTCTTGGAAGGAAGGAGTTCTATTTCATAAGATTCAGTCACCAGCTTTCAATAGGTAAGAACATAATGAGCAACAAGCTGTTTTTCCTACCCTTTCCCATTTTGGTTCTCTACAACCACTCAAATCCTGCCAGCAGTGTTAAGAAGCAACTGTGTTCCTAACCAGCATTAACTACTGTGTTAGTGGAATATCCACTACCTCTGGATGTGAGGTGCTCCTCTTGAAGAGACAGTATAGGGAAAGCTGGAATGTGGTCCCCGTCCCTCTGGCAAGATGCTTCCACGTGCAGAAGCACATAGGGCCAATTCCCAGCATCGAGCAACGCAAGAAGCTGCACTACAGCAGCAACTCATTAAACTCTTCTTTGCCACCTTTGCAAACTTGAATTCAGGGCTTCTTCAAACAGTCCTTTCCAGAAATACCTGAAGTTATTGTTTTAGGGCTTCTGTACAGTTTGTAAAGATATGGTGTTTTATTATAATATTTCATCTATTTCTATAAGAAAGATACCAGACTGTAAATGTTGTATAAAAATTTAAATGAATTTTTAAAAATAAAAAAAAAAATCTTGAAAGAGGTTTTTCTGTCCCTTTTCATGTGTTTTATGGTAGTCCTCCAGCATTAGCCTAGAAATAAAGCTTTGCCATCGCTTGAAGAAACTTCTTTTTCCTCCTCTGTGCAGCAAGCTGTAGGACTTCCTCAGGATTGCTGGCGTTCAGCTCTGTCTGCCCAATAGCTTTTATCTTAAAAAAAAAAAGACAGCAGTAGCAACAGTTATTGCACACGGCTGTTCTGTTACAGTTTCCAGTGCTAGTCAACAAAATGATGGATGGCTGGATACTTCTGCAGCACCTTGTGCCCTCTGCCCTACACCACCACATGCACCTAACACAGTTCAGACTGAAATACAATTACAGCTGGAAGTGGCAATTATGTTCAAGAACTCCTCCCCCAAAGCACAGCCTTTACTCACCGCTATCTGCCTCTTGTCTGTCTCACCTCTCTTGTGGTGGAGATCTAATGAGAAGTTAAGGCAAGCATAGATGTAAGATCTACTCACTTTCTCCAGCCATGAACACCCAGCCTAAGCATTAGCAGCATTCTATTGAAAGGATACATGTCAAGTACTCCAAGATTGTGACATCCCAGATGTATTCATAGTATGAATCCATGGCATCATGACTGAAAGAAAACACAGGTGATTATATATGTAATTATATATGTAATGTTTGTATAGCAACATGTTACTAGTCTAACCTGTAAGTTTTACTGTAATAATTACCTGTTTTGTTCCTGCAGGGCCTTGAATGCAGTTTTATAGTCTACTTCTCTGAGGAACTGGCACAAAATAGCCACCTGCAAAGATACACCAGGAAAAACTTCTTTACAGAAGGGTTGTTAAGCACTGCAATAGGCTCCCCAGGGAGGTGGTTGAGTCACCATCCCTGGCTGTGTTTAAAAACCATTTGGATGTGGTGCTCAGGGACATGATTTAGCAGAGGACTGTTAGTTAGGGTAGTATGGTCAGGTTGTAGTTGGACTCAATGATCTTTAAGGTCTTTTCCAATCTAAACAATTCTATGATATGAAGACAGGCTCAGGTGTCTTTCCCAGCCTTAGGCCCCACTAATGGGAGTCTGCCACAAGATGCAGTGACCCCATCCAGCTTCCAGACCCAGGCAAGAGCTCCTTCCCTTATGGAGCAGCGGGGAGAAAAAAAGTTTAAAAAAAGACTTTTCCAGACAAACGGGAAGGGACAGACCAGGCTTCAGGGTTTCTGAATGTATTTACTAAGGTCTGACATAGGAGCTACTATAAGCTTTGAGCACTCAATTGCTACATGTAGTTAGTAGGTGAAACAAGGCTACCATTATTTAAATATTAAAAATAAATGGGGGACAAAACCAAAACGATTCACCTCTGACTATTTCTATTTCTGCAATAATCAGGTTGGATATTAGGAAAAATTCCTTCTCCAGAAGAGTGGTGAAGGAGTGGCACAGGCTGCCCAGGTTGGTGGGGGAGGCACCATCCCTGGAGGTGTTCAAGAGACACGCAGGCATGGCACTGAGGGGACGTGGTTACTGGGCATGGTGGGGATGGGCTGATGGTTGTACTAGATGACCTCAGTGGTCTTTTCCAACCTTAATCATCCTACGATCATTTCCAAGTGTGCATTTATTTACTTGTTAACTTGGGTCCTTAAATATTCTACAGGCAATGGGAACAAATGATTTTACTGCAGGTTGCACTTGCAAGGAAAGCTGGACTCCAGTTTTACTTTTAGAAAATTTCCCTGTAGCTTCTGAATTCAAAATGCTTACAGATGCCATTTCCTGAGTACCACACTTGGGCTCTTACCTGTGTGTGACAGTTGAGTAAGGAGCAACACTTTATCATTCTTTTTATCACCTAAGAATGGTTAAAGAAAGTTTTCAAACTGTTAGCAATGGAACAGACTGAGCAACAAATCTCTGTTCATTTTTCAAATAGGATCAGCTATACATCAACCTTCTTCTAACCCCTTCCCTCATCCTCGTGTTTGGGCACACACCAGCATGCAGCTGAGCCCAGCAGAGCTCACAGAGCAGAGCACTGCACTCGTGGGAGGGGCTGCTGCAAAGCAAGCTGCAGCACCGGGGCACAACATCCCTGCCAGGAGCTCTGGACAGCTGCAGCCTGGCACTGAGCATAGCTCTGACTGGGCTATGAAGGGTCAAAAATCACAAGAAAAAGAGGCTGAACGCTCACTTCCCATACAGACAGAAGCATACAAGCAGAAGCAACAGAGCAGGGTATGAAAATAACTTCCTGTCCTGGACACAGACAAGCAGTTTCTTCCCACCACCTGCTGAAATGCAGCAAATTCATATCTACAGAGCATGGGAATGCTGAATCCATCCCATCCCCTTACACACTTAAATTCCATTCCAACACCGTAACTCACCTGGTCTGTGAACACATCGGGTGGCACCATCTTATTGAAGAAATCGGAGCACACAGCTCCTGCCTGCAGGTAATAGTGAAGGGCTGCCGAATACTGGTTTGTTGCTGCAGCGGAAAAAGGGCAAAACAAGGACTTACCATTGAATAGAGCAGTTCATTTCTAAGACTCAGATCAGTTGTTTATAGAACTATTCAGACCCTGTTAGCTAAATTCTATTTAGAAGATGACTTGCACGCCAGCTGTAAAAACACGAGAGGTAGCAACATTTGTAGAAAAGCACACAATCAGGCAAACCACCAACACAGGCAAAGGTCTGAGCTCTGAGAATTCGTTTTCACTTTCCAGGTATTTGATCCCAAGCCCACCAGCTTCAGAGCAGGAAAGGAGTTTGCTTCTTGGAACTCAGCACATGGGTGGCAGGGAGGTTCAGGCAGCCCAAGTACCCCTGCTCTCTCAGGTACCAGCTTCAGAGGTACCCCATATAAACCTCCTCTCCCTGAGATGCTGTTCCACTTCATACAAGTGAGCACTCTGTTCAGTTTTGGGCACCTCAGTACAGAAAGGACATGGAGGTGCTGGAGCAGGTCCAAAGAAGGGCAGCAAGGCTTGTGAAGGGTTTGGAGAATATGGCCTACGAGGAGAGACTGAAGGAACTGGGGCTGTTTAGTCTGGGGAAAAGGAGGCTGAGGGGAGACGTTATTGCTCTCTTCCAATATCTGACAGGTGACTGCAGTGAGAGCAGAGCTGGTCTCTTCTTGTGACTGGACAAGGGGAAATGGCCTCAAGTTGTACCAGGGTAAGTTTAGGTTGGATATCAGGAAACACCTCTTTACAGAAGGGTTGTTAAGCACTGCAATAGGCTCCCCAGGGAGGTGGTTGAGTCACCATCCCTGGATGTGTTCAAAAACTGTTTGGATGTGGTGCTCAGGGACATGATTTAGCAGAGGGCTGTTAGAGTTAGGGTAGTACGGTCAGGTTGTGGTTGGACTTGTATTATCTTTAAGGTCTTTTCCAGCCTGAGCAGTTCTATGATTCTATGAAGTAGTAAACACTGCCTGTTTATAACCCTGAATCACTTTCTCATATTTAAGAGGGGAGCTCCAACCACGGGACTACAACCCCTTGTCCCACCTCGAGCACCTTCTGGATAAGTCTGTCTCCCTGTGGAACACTCCTGCATGACACAGCCATCCTCCCATTCAAATGTGCTTTGGAACCATGCACCCTGCCTTCTGCATGAGATGCAGGCACAGCAAATGGACAGCAGTGGCAAAGCACCCCCTCCTCCTGCTTTACTGGCAAAGAAGAACAATCCAGCTTCAATGCTGAATTCCACTAGAATGGAATCTATAGGTAACTGAAGCACAAGAAATACCCAACTAGCTTTGGAGGCAGTTTTAACATTACCATTCTCTAGCACATATTTGTCAGGCTGGCTTGTGAATGTTCATACTTCACAGTGTAAGCAGAGAGAGTGAGGGGCTGATGAAATTTCCAGAGCCTGACTCCAGACAGGGCAGTGAGTTACCAGCCAGGCTGTGCCAGGCTCCCCAGGCAGTGCTAACTGCTGCAGTCCAGCTGCATGTCACAGTGCCTAGAATCTGAACCGCTCCACATCCCAGTGCTGTTGGCTGCTCCCAGCTACGAGCCCCTGGGATAAGCACAGGGGAAGTGGCAGATTGAGGACAGAAAGACAGAAAAGGGTTTCCCATCACAACCAGTACCAAACCAGTTCACGTTTCCTCGTTTACAAACCCTACATACCTCCTGTATAAGATACAGATCCTCTTTGCTCATCTTCTGCTTCAGTAAAGCTGATCTCCACATTTGAACACAAACACTATCCACAAAACTTTTTCTTAACTTAATAAAATACTAATATTACACTAATATACCACTTGAACAAAGCAAAATCATCAACAACTCTGAAAGTTTCCCTTACCCTAGGAGCAAATCCACACGATCTGCTGAAAGCTGTCTGTCAGCTCAGACAGCCTCCTAGGCAAAGTCACCTACACTACTGCCCCCAAAGACCCTGAAGTCACATCACAAAAGCTTCTTTGCATAGAAGGAACTATAAGGAGGGTTATGAAGGCAGGCAAACTTTACAAAATAAACACTGCCCCCATGCATGCAACAAAAAAAGATACTGGCGTTGCTTACCAAAATAAATATCTGCCTGGATAATTAACCAGAAGTGGTTGTTGGAGTTGATTGTCAGTGCATAGTT